CCCACCTTCTAATGCAAATGGATGAGCTGATTAACAAAGCTTGCAGAGCCTGTTGTGAAAGACGGGTGAATGGAGAGAACCCGAGGGAGACACTAAGAGCATGTAAACCAAATCAGGGAGCAGCTGACTGCATTCAGAGGGAAGAGGCTATAGGAGCACTTAGAAACACAGAAAACAAGAATATGACCTAGGCTGCACGAAGCACTAGTAAACACACTGAAGTGGAGGGCAACAGGAAGCATCTGTTCAATGTATTCTTAGACTGCAGAAGTATCAGCAGTTTTACAAATACCACCATTTATTATTATTAGTTTTTATAATCGTGGGGGAAGCACTAGAATACTTATTTTTACTGAAGTTACACAAAACCCACACAGAAACCACACTTGTTTTTCAGTACTAAAAACCCAACTGTTGAAAGGTGAGAACAACCCTTAATTTATGGAAATCCCAAACGCAATCTCCCATGCATTAACTTTAAATCATTATGGAAACAAAGGCTGCATATTTTGTCTATTGTGGGGATACTGAAGTACTTTTTTTTTAGAAATAGTTTACTATGTCAATGAAAATGCAGATGCTTCTGTGCACTTCAGGGACTTCAAACACTGCATCAATTATCTGAATAAGTAATGAAAAGACATTGTGAATAAAATGGTTCACCAAGCCTGGTTCACAAGTCAATTGCTTTCTGAATCCAGTAATATACTGTAATATTTGACACGTTATTTCTTTTTGCAAGAGGTTAAGAGTTTTCCGTGCCCCTATGCTACACTTGCTGCAAACAGTTTGGGGAGAAAAAACCAGACCAATTATAAAAGACTGCAAGAAGTACAACACACCTTTGGATTCTCTGCCATAACCCCCTTTTCACATAAAAGAAAAAAACCGAAAAAAAGTCCCTGAAACCAAAAAGTTGAAGTCCAACCAAACCAGAAACATGACAATCTCCCTAGCAGACTGGGCCAGTGATAAGCAATTTAATACTTTCAAATTCAATCCCTGACAAACTGGACTAGGTCACAGTAGAACACGAAATGTCTGTTTGTTGAGCTATGGTTTCCAAAGAGTCTCTTACTGGCACCTGGAAACAGAGCAAGCATAAGGCTGATTATCATTTCTGTAACCCCCAAGGAAAACTATCATGCAAGATGTTTGAGTAAGAGCAATGCTGTTCGAAGGCAGCATTCATAAACAGAACAAAGACTAAACAAAAGGCTAAACAAGTACATCATAATTAACAACTACAACCAAACTTTTAATTAAGATATGTAAGAAAAATCAAGGAGAGCTAATTAAAAAAACACCAGCGTATATACTTTCTTAGAAAAATCTGAATTGGTACCGTGAAATAAACAGGCTAATTAGAAGTGACCACAATTATTTTGTCACTGTTATTGAGTTTAGTCATGATTTTTCAGCTTGTTCTTTAATTCTGCATCTTGTCTGCACTCCTCTGTTGTTCGAATGCAGGATTTTTCCATCCAATTTCTTTAAAAACTAAGCAAAAGTGAAGAAAATACCCTAGAGATTACACTTTGTATGTCTGGCATATTTTGTCATTAGTTTTGAGACACACTCTTTTCTGCCTAGGTCAGTATAATTCTTGCAGGGCCAGAATTATAATTATTCTACTCCCCCTATTCATCCAGAAAAAAATCCACAGTTACCACAAATGAATCCTGATACAATTGCCACATCAATAATGCTACACTCAACATGTTTTTCTTTTATCCAGGCAGCCAGACCAGCATAAGAACATGATGCTGCTTCACACAGATTTTACTGTTAGGTATCAACTTCCCTTAAGGCCAAAAAACCGTTACAGATAATAGGAATCTAACTGGCAATATTAAGGTTTTACTTCTTTCCTCTTATATACTACCCTTTCATGAAAATACATCCATTCTCATTACTTTTGCCATTCTTCAAAACTGTTACCATGCTGATTTGAACAGTAACACTTAGTTAATGCTGATAGAAACAAGTAAAGAAAAATGCTGACACAATCTGGAGTTATTTAAGAAGTTATTTGCTACATATCTATTTCTAGAAAATTAATAAAAAGTTGCTGACTCCCAGCTGTAAAAATCCCAAGTACACCCAGGCAAAATAAAAATGGGTAAAAAAGGGAATTCCCATCCACAATCCCAGAATGCAAACACCAAAATGATTTGCAATTAACGACTTCTACCTCTCCCCTACAGTGTTGGCACTATACCCACCACTCTATTGAGATACATGTTAACTCTTTCTGCTTATCAGACTGAGCAGGATCCACCTTCCAGAAAGTTGTTTCTGCAGCAACACGGAAGCAAAATTCTACTTTTTAAAATACTCTTACATCTAACAGAAATTGATGGCCTCTTAAAGTTCTGCTCTGGTGCACCACAAGTAACCCTTAAAGTGCCCAGGAAGAGCTGGCTGCTCACCACAGTATCTTCCTTCACTCCACATTTAAAGTTCCAGGCAATTGCTGTCCTAACTGTAGCTTTCAGACTATTATGGCTGTAGGGTGTCCCCTTTTTCCCTCTCCACAAAACCAGGGCATTCTGAACTAGTAAAGCAACCTTGTCTTTACTAACACCATAGCACATATCTTCCTTGGAAGTCACTCAACTTTTAAGTTTGAGGCGTTTCCTTCTTTGCACTGAGACAAAAATAAAGAGTCCTTCCTCTATACGGCTAAAAAAAGTTTCAAACCCCCTTCAAAATTGAGATAAAAACATACATGCCTGTGCCAGGTATCTCATAGATGGGAATCTCCATTTCCTCAGACTATTCCCAGGCTCCTCTATTGCCAAAGGTAGACAAGCACTTTCTCCCTAGTCTGTATTTTTCTGTTCGATAGGTGGAATTAAGTAAAAGGCTTATTTCTGTGCAAAGGCTTCTTCTTCTGCATAGCAATAAGCCTCACATTGTAATTGATTTTTTTTAAGTGTCATTTAAATTATTTTGGTATGATTTATCTTTCCTTACTTTTTCCTAAAACATCTCAGAATATTAACAAGGAAATAAATGTAGTAATACTCTAACATCTTCAAACATTACCTAATTTAAAAATCTAATTTACTTTTCATCATTTAGGTTTCCTTACTATTTCAGATGTCACTCAGTGTGGATAGTAAAATTAGACTATCAGTTTCATTTTTGCTTTGAACGTGTTGCAGGTTCTGCTTCTCAACCACTAGAACTTTCATGTTTAAAGTTTCCAAAATTGTTCTGGAACTTTTAATTTAAAAAAAGGGGGAACTACTGCTTTGTTTTTATTAAAACAATTCTCAAGTGCTCTCCCTGGCCCTTTTTACAAGAGAAGGCCAAGTTCTGGCACAAAAATAAGCCTCAAACGTACCTGTTAAGTAGTAGTAAGTGGTTTTCTATTAATACAGAGAGACAATAAAAGTCTTAAATGGCACTGAGGGTGCCATTGTGTACAATGGCCTTCCAAACAAGTCAGTGGGAGACCTGCTTAAGAACGAATAAACAAATTGAAAAAGTAATAATACATGACTATGTCCTATTCTTGCTTTGGTGAAATTTAAAAGATGATTTATCACCAAAGGCAGCCTTACTGTCTTAAGGCCTCCACAACCAGTGTCAGCTTTATTCAAGGCCTGCCACCACACTTGAAAAGAACTCAAGGAAAACATTTAGGAAAACTTATTAACACACGTGTTCACTGACAGAACTTACTTTGGAAATAGAGTTTTTTATATGGAACAATAAATGAACAGAAGTCTCAACTACATCCAAGCTAACCTTTTTATATGCGGGAATACCTCACACCATCAGTCCGCTGCAGGAAAAAAAAAGCTACCAGCACAAAACCAGCACCAACTTCCAGAGTTAAGTATTAGGCAATTAAAACTACACAAGTCATGGGTAAAGACTTTAATTAAAAACACCTTAACTGTGCTAATCACTGTAAACTGGGTTGAGCCTGGAAGCTGTAGAGGTAGGGAGAGGAGGAGATGCCCTGGCAGGGGCACAGGTAGGGAGAGGAGGAGATGCCCTGGCAGGGGCACAGGTAGGGAGAGGAGGAGATGCCCTGGCAGGGGCACAGGTAGGGAGAGGAGGAGATGCCCTGGCAGGGGCACAGGTAGGGAGAGGAGGAGATGCCCTGGCAGGGGCACAGGTACGGAGAGGAGGAGATGCCCTGGCAGGGGCACAGGTACGGAGAGGAGGAGATGCCCTGGCAGGGGCACAGGTAGGGAGAGGAGGAGATGCCCTGGCAGGGGCACAGGTAGGGAGAGGAGGAGATGCCCTGGCAGGGGCACAGGTAGGGAGAGGAGGAGATGCCCTGGCAGGGGCACAGGTAGGGAGAGGAGGAGATGCCCAGGCAGGGGCACAGGAAGGAGGACAAGGCACCCGCAGGGTCTCGGCCCCGGCGGATCTCGCCGGTCCCGCCCGGGTCTCGAACGCGCGATACGCCCCCGGCCGCCACCACCCCGCAAAGCTCCGGTGGACACGTTTTCCGTCTAAAAACGCTAGTTTAGGAACCACCACGCAAAAGCACTTTTTTTCTTATTAAAAAAAAAACAAAAAAAAGGAAAACGCATCGCCCGAACCGCTCCACGCGCGGCCGCTCCCGGCGGGCCCCGCTCCGCGCTTCCCGCGGCGCTCGACGCCCCCGAGCGCGGATTCTCCGCCCGAAGCGGGGGATCGCGCGGGTGGGTGTGGTGCGTGTCTGTGTTCCCCAGCCCGCATCCCCCTCCCCCCCGCCCCCTCCCCCTTCACCTCCGCGCCGCGGCAGCGCTGACCGACGGGGAAGAGGCGGAACGCGGAAAAGGCAACCCGCGCCGCCCGCCCGCCGCTCTGCCCGCGGCCGTGCCCCCCCCCCCGTGCCGCCGCCGGGCCCGGCGCCCGCTCCGGGGGGTGTCGGTCCCTCACCGGTCCCGCGCATGCGCATCTCCGCCGGGGGGGCGCCCACGACGAACGGCCCGCGCGCGGCGAGCAACGTGGCCGGCGGCGGCTTACGGGTTCCCGCGCGGCGCTTACGGGGCGGCGTGAGCGGCGCCGCCCGCCATCTTGGAGCTCGAGTGGCGCGCGGGAGGTGGGTCCGGGAGGGTTCTTATGGCCAGCGGGGCCGGCAGCATCTGCGCGGGGTTCGCGGGGTGCGGGAGAGGGCACCTGTGTGGGTCGGGGGAGCAGCTCGGTAACGTACCCAGGGGGTCCCCACAGCTGCGCTCCCTCACAGGTGCCTCCCGATGCTGGAACAGAAACTGGGAGGTGCTTCCCCTTGTCCGTGACCCTCTCCCGTAAAGATGTACGAAGGAGGATTTTGAGTAGGTTAAAAAGCCTCTTTTTTTTTTTTTTCAGTCGGTGCTCAAGGAAAGGATAAGATGATGTGACACAAATGTATGATCGTGTGCCACAAATAGAACGTTGTGGGAAGCTTTCCCTTAGACATAAGCTTTGTCCTATATTTTTTCAAACAGTTTGTTTCCTTGCTGTGTAGGTCATTCTTAGCATTAGGCTAAATTTGGCTGCAGATGCACCAACAGTGAAGACAGACACCGAGGGAGCTCAGTTAGACCAGAGCTCAGCTGTGGCTTGGCCAGGAACATGGGTGCAAAATTATTTACTTTTTTTTACTGACTTTTTTTTCAGGGAGCTTGGTTGAAAGTAACAAACATTCAAGCATTTAAATAAAATACCTTGAGTCTGGAAAATTAGAAGTTTATAGGATGGCCTGCCTGGTTTGCTCTAGTGCTGCAAGCCATGTATACAACTTGCATTAATTTCAAGGGTATTTCTAACACAAAGTGAGGAAAGATGGAACAACTCAGGCCTTTTGAAGATCTGTACCTGGAACTTCAAAACAAGGTCCAATCTCTGCTTCCAGTACGTATGGCAGAATTTGTACTTGTTTATGCACTTTGATTTTCAGTTCTTTGTGTATAAATTTAGCTGTGGGTGGAGTATCCTGAGCCAGATTTCTTCCTATATGCTATACATACAGGATGACAGAGAGACATACATGATTCTGTGTTAGATTGACAAGGGATTGCATTTCCCAGCAAATGCTGGATCAGAGCCATCTGTTTCAGAAATTAGCATAGCAGCAATTTGTTTGTTTGGCTTCATCTGTCTATTAGTTTGGTCCAAATCCTCTTGTTTTAGAGACACACTAGCACATAGGGAAGGGACCCGTCATCTGCTCTGTGCAGGCATCCCCTAAAATACATAAATTATTCTAACAAGAGGAGATATGAAATGTCATTGTCAGAAATCCAGACAAAGCAAAAGTAAGATTCTTTTTTTTCCCCTGTAAACAAATTTGACTTTCTCAGTGCACTCATATTCTTCCATTAAAAATCATCTGGCTCTAAACAGGGTACTGGTCTCAGAATACTTCTCTCCAACCCAAAGTAGTGTTGCTGTACTTGCAGGTGCACTGGATCTCTCCCTTCTGTTTATTTTGACAGAATGATGGAAATCCTTCCTGACTTAAAGCCTCCACAACTTTCTTTTGAAGAGGTATTGATATTCTTAAAAACTGAGGAGTCCAGCTGCAAACAACAGTCAGGAAAAGGGCATCGGTCCATTAAATGATAAGGTATCACTCCGTTAGACAACAGCTTTTCTAAAAGCAGTTCACTTTGAGTTCTGTACCTAAAGAAAATGACATCTCTTAAATAGCTTTTTTTTTATTTGCTGCATACCAAGTCTGCAGTATTCAATATTTTAGTTATTTGCCTAGATTTTTTAGGTCTTTGGGGGGAAAAAAATAAAAATTCTACTTAATACTTCAAAAACTCGCATCTACCATTTTATAGTTCCTACTGGATCTGGTTACAGTGCAAATATTTCTCCACAGACATAGCGAAAGGTCTACACTGTTGTACAGCTAATGATCACTCTGTGGCATTTGCTTGATGATACAAGTTTCAGATGATATTCCTAACTGCTCTTTAAAAATATAACTAAAAATAGTTACAAGAAAGTCTTCTGTACCCTTGAGAAGTGTAAAGCCCAATATAGTTATTCTGAAAAGAGAATTCTAGGTAGACCTGCTCAAATATGAGGAACTGTGAATGTTTCTTACAACTCATTACTGCTAATGCACAATTTAGAGATGTACTACACAAAGTAAAAGATTTAGTTCATTTTCGTGTTACTTCATTTCTTAGTCACATGGCAGAACCAACAACAAAAACTCCTTCTAAAATAAGAACTTACATTTCTCCGTCAGATAAACAAGTCCTATGTTGTAGGCAATGACAGTGATGTGAAGTCTCAGCTCAGAGGATGTGAGTGCTCATTGTACACATGCACTGCAGATCACCTGTGCTGGTTTGTGTGCATCTGTCTCTACCTGAGCATCTCTGTCAGGTTACTCCTCCCACACTCCGCCCAGTTTCTTTGTCTAATCCCAACAACCAACAGTCGGATCTGCTGCAGTTTGGAAACCTGGGCTGAATGGAGGGGGAGTTGCTGGTGAGAAGAGGCTTTGCCTGGTCGCTGCTAAACCCATAAACACCTAAGGCAGGGCTGTGCTCTCATTGCCTGATGATGAAACAGTGGGACCAGCTAAAGTCAGACGGTGACAACATCTGGTGGCTTTGCTGTGCTGTCAGAGCTCGCTGATGAAATTGCCCATTCAGAAGATGCATTTTGAATCAATACCTGGGTAATGCACACCACGGTGTTTAGAACAAATAGCAAATGTTGTCAGAAGTAAATAGTTCTGTATTTTAAGCAATGGAAAGAGTGTGTAAGTGCTTTTCCAGGGTAAGTGTAGAAAGCCATTACAAAGCTTATCTTTTCAAGTGACCTATAAAAGCTATAAACACATCAAAGGCTTTCAGGACATCAGATACAAACTTTAATTCTTCCCACAGTCAAAAACTCCCATGAAGCCACTGTCCCCGGATCACGACTCCAGGTATGCTCAGTAATGCTAATGGAACTCACACTTACATGGGCAGCTTCATTCACAAACTGTAATTTAATTCAGGTTACAATTTATTAAGCAGTGATTTCTTGTACTGATTTTTTTCTCTAAATTGCTGAATGTAAGGCAACACAATTTTTTTAGAATAGAATTTCTTGTAGGTTTTATTATTACAGAAAAAAAAAACCCATTACAATGTAGCTGAAATGTTTCTGCTTCAAGGCAGCAGCTTTTTGTTTACAGCTGGCAGGTTGAGAGGTTATATTTGTGTCATAAGTAAAGGTGGGTGAAATTTCTTCCAGGTAAAGAGTCTAGACTTTCATAGCAATCTGAGATTTTAGCAGCAGTTTTTCTTATATTGTTGTCCAGCTCTAACCATAATGCATTTAGTCAGTCACAACACTGTGAATTTAGTGAATGTGGCTTTTTGATTTTTTGAAATACTATGAAAAGATGTCCTTTACTGTAAATACTTAACGTGTCATCCTGATATCATAAGGTACCGAACACAGAGGGGATGAAAATGCCAGTGGATCCTGCTGAATGATTTAGCCTTAAGGCTCCTGCAGGTTTTATTCGGATTCAGAATAGTAGGAGTGGGAAGGAGGGGGATAAATAAAACATTTGTTTCAGAAAGTAGGTGACTTTGACAGAACACTGATGTAAACCGTGAAGGCTCACAGATCAGAAGAATATTGTTAAGAAGGGAGGCTGGTGAACACTCAACACCAGCCCCCGAGTGGTGCTGATCAGTGCAGTGCTGCTTTGCTTTTAACTATTATTGCACTTTCTCTGCAGTTCTACAGAATTCAGTCAGTGACTCCCACTGATGCATCACAGTCACTCAAACATGTTTTTTTATCCAGCACCACTCGGTGGATATTTTGGTTAAGGCCTAATCTCATTTGGATTTATTACGATTTATCTTGGATTAAGCGTTTATCTGCTGAGGATTACGACCCATACTATGAGGTACTGATGGGCGATCCGAGTTCAGGAATGTCTGAGCACATTAGAATGAATCAGCAATATTATTTTTTGACACAGTCTTCACACATTATCTCTTTTCAGTCAACTTTGCAACATTCATACACATAAGTATCTAATTTTCATTTAATATGGGCAGTAACCTGGAAAGCTCTTAACATCCAGTAAGAGAAAGCTGCATTTAATTAGGAGCAGCTTAAAAGATCAGGCCTCAGAGCCACATGACTTCATATTCCCTCTGCCTTCCACTCTCAGTATAACATTATTGATTTTTTTTTATACCAATTTAAATATTTTTTTCTTTTTGAAATGTATTTTGGTGAGTCTTTCACTGCTATCCCAACTTTCTACTTCTAATTTGCACAGCCAGGAGTAAAAACAACGATGAAGAAGAATACATTGTTTGTCTATTACCTTTCTGGACTTTTAGGATGTTTTTCAGGTTTGAATAGGTTTAAACTGCTTCCTCTGTTGATATACACAGTACTGCACCTCAGGAACAGTGTTGGATTTCTCATGGGATTAAAAGAAGTTGGTCTTTGGCTTCAGTTCGTGGCAAAGCCACCAATGCATGCTGTAGTTGCTTAATCATTTTGTATATTTATAATATCTTAGAAATTCCATTTTATGCTGCTTTTTATGCTGCTTTAATTGCACAAATTTGGAGAATTCCAGTGGCCATAATTTTGTATGTTTGTAAGTTTTCCTTACAGTTTGGATTTTGTCTTCATGATACACGCAGAGAAGGTTTAAATACTTTCAGTCTTTCATAATGCTGAAAATAAGACCTAGGATGTGAAACTGCACAATTTAATGTGTTTAACCACTCTTACTAAAGAAATTAGAGGGAAAATATATGGTTCATTTCCAGTATACAATTCTACTATTTGCTAAATACTGTCCCATTTACAATGTGCAGTCCTGTAACAAATGACTACACTGCAGTGTTATTGTTCATTTTGAGGACTGCCTGCAATGTCTTATTTGCCAACCAGGGAGTTTGCAGTGTGAGTGTAACCATGAGGAGATGAAACCTAAGGTGGTAAGGGACACTAGTTCCAGTATGTCTGACTTCACTAAATAGAGTAATGTAATTAAATTTTGGTTTTCAGGGGAACAGTTCAAAATTCAATTTCTTTACAATGTTGGGATGAATAGGGGGATGAAGTTGATGGACGAATAGGTTCTTTGATAAATAGCTTCACTCCATCTGCTATAGGTTGTAAGAGACCAAATGGTCCTACAATATTAGGGCCTTTCCGGGCTTGCATGTAACTTAGAATCTTACGTTCAACTAGGGTAAGAAATGCTACGGCGATGAGGATGGAGAGAGCATAGGATATTGATATAATAAGGTAAGTGAGGGTTAAGTGAATTGTCATGTGATTTGTGTCGGAGCTAGGGAGAGGATTTGAACCTCTGGGTAAAGGGCTTAAGCCTTCTGCATTTGCCAAGCTCTGCCACGCTAGCGGTCCTTTTCTAGGAGGGGGTTGTGGTGAAGCTCTTAGTAATTTAGTTGGGTTCATTACTGGGTGCGAAGGCGTGCTTGTGGTATAGGCCTTACTTCTTCGGTCCTTTCGTACTAGAAGGAGTTATAACATAGATAGAAACCGACCTGGATTACTCCGGTCTGAACTCAGATCACGTAGGACTGTTAATCGTTGAACAAACGAACCCAAGGCATAACTATGCCTTGTTACCAATTTGCATCTTACCCAACTAATGTTCAGAGTTGTGGACACAGCAATGTCTGTGAAACCATAGCTCATATTTCTGTTATGCAAGGAAAAGATTCAGCTGATGAAAAATTAGACAAAGTAAAAGACTGAGAATGGATGAGCATAGAAAAAAATTGATCTACCATAACTAAAAACGTTGATAAATAAGCTTTAAGGAGACATAAAAAAATAAAATTATTTTTCAGTACCTTTTTTGAAAAAATATCAAATAGAAAATCATCTGGATTCAGAGGAGAAAGGTTCTGTGAGCCAGATTCTTTATCCCCTTTCATATAAGTATGTGTACAAGGAGAGAAAAATAGTGAGTGAAGGGTATTTTCTGGTAATGGGATACATTAAGGTTGCCATGGAATTTGGGATCAGCATGCACAAGATATTGATCTTAAACCTGCTGCTGAGCTACAAGGATAAGAAGGACTTGTTAATTTACTTATTTTCTATATCAACCCAGAACTACCCATGTATAAGGACAACCCTATGGATAGGATGGATGGCAAAGTCTGACTTTGAAAAGACTCTTACTGGGACTCATGGAATCAATTCAACTGGAAGGGACCTTAGGAGATTTTCTAGGGCAAATTCCTGCTTAAATCAGGGTCAACACCGAAATCACATCAGTTGGTTTAGGGCTTGATGCAATCAAGTTTTGAAAACCATCCACGCTATAACATTCCAATTTGGATACAAGTGTGCTGTGGGAGACCGTGCTGAAAGCCCTCCTGAAGTCAAAGTAGGCAACATCTACGGCTCTGCCTTTGTCTGCATGTCTCGCCATTTCATCTCAGAAGGTTGTTAGACTTGCTCAAGTGTGGCAAACCTTGGAGAATCCATGCTGGATACTGCTTCTCATCGCCTTTCTTTCTTCTTCAGGCATGGCTCCTGCAGACTTGCTCCGTTACTGTCCCAGAGGACAAGCAGTGGTTCCATGGATCATCATTCTTGCCTTTCTTTAGCATTATGGGCTTTTGGAGAGATTGAAGTGTGAAATCAGCCTTTCACTTCACAGCTAAGAGATTTGACATAGTCCATAGTGATACACTCCCTACAAACTGGAACTAAAAAGTCTGTAAACAGTTATTGATTTCCACATGCTACTGGGGAAATTTTCCAAGATCAGTGACAGCTGGGAAATCACTGGCATTTTAAAATTATAGATCACTGATTCACTTTTTTGGCATTTTCAGTATTGCATTATGGCAATAAACATGCTAGATGCGTATTAAAAAAACCAAAATGCTTTTAGCATTTTAGTATTTTTTTGTTTGAGCAGTATTACAGATGAAAATTTCTTGATACAATTCAAAATAATGGGTTTGTTTATTAAAGATATATACCCATTAAGATGAAGTTAGGATGAGGAAAATGCTTGTTTGTGTGAAAATAATATCTGCTTTTTCAACAACAGCATCTCCTGAGGTTTCTTTGATTCATATCTGATTACTTTAATGACTAAACCAGGTTTTAACTCCTGTTAGCACTGCAGAATACAGAGAATTGTAGAAGACTAAAATGTATTTTGCCCTCCCAAGTCATTGTCAACGCAACTCTCAGGTACATTTCATTCTGGAATTATTTGCAAGGGAGGGGATTGGTTTCAAGTCATTGTCCCAGGCAGAGACTGCAGAAGCCTCTGGTCGGTCACTGAGCTTTCATTCCAATTTGGGAGGAGTTGGGTGCTTGCCTACAGAAGGGCACAGGTGCGTGAAAAGGAAAGATGTGTTGACAAAATCACCTCTTTGCTGGACAATTCAAAATGTGAGATAAACCCGAGCTTGTTCTGTGCTGCCTGGGGCAAGAAGGACTTCATATTGTTAACACAGTGATTCCTCTGGCTGATGAAGGATCTGCTCTGACGCATTCTGAAGGATGTTGCATATGCCTTGGCTGGGAAAATGATGTTTTCTTTGTGCTGGTCGAGGATAGAAAAGAAGGGGAAATGGTGGGAGTGGTGACTCGGGTGATCTTTAGAGAAAAAAAATAATGCAAATTCAAATTGAAGATGAGCTCTGTATACTTCCAGGTTTGAAAATAATTAGCAGTCACAGAATTTGTGATCTACTGTCTCAGATTTTTGCACTGCAAAAATATACATTTTAAAATAGAATAAAAAATTGACTAGTAAGATTAGCTGGCTAATAATGTTTTAATGCAAAAAGTATGTAATAGAAGATATTGTTCAGTCAGAATCCGGAAAGAAAAACATCAAATAATAAACTGATTTGAGCTAAGAACTTTGAATACAGACTTAATTGTTCAAGACACGACTGATTTTATTTTATTTCCATGACAGCATCATTTTATCCACAGTCTGCCATGCCATGAGGCCTGTAAGGTATGTATTTTGCCTTCTCAGCTTCTCTTGGGGAATGATTTGTGATTAGGAGTACGGAGACTTATTTCAAATGTCTCTTAAAATCTGTGGTATTGCAAACAACGGATATAAAATGAGATTCACACACATAGCTTTGCTGGTGGCCAAGAACTGCGTTGCAATATGCCGGAAATCCAAACATCCTCCTACTCCCAGAGCCTTGCTGACAGATCTACAACAACTTCTTTCTCTTGAAAAAGCTACTTACAGCATCAGAGAGAAGCCTGATAATTCTGAGAAACTAATGTAATCTATAAAATGGAAGGTTAAAGATTCCTCATCATTATAAAAATGACATTTCTTTTTGAAAATTTTACCGTTTCAAGTAACATCTAAATCCCCCCAAAAAATCTTGTCATCCCTTAAAAAAGCAACAACAGCAAACCCTTAGGATTAGTGTCATTGTTTTCTTGTACAGCCTTTTAGACCTACAAATCGTTGGGCTCCTGCGTAAGTACAGGGTGTTCATCAATGGAACGTGATACAGAAATAGAACCTCAGCTCAGCAGATCCTCCTTTCTTGAAAAACCAATTAAAAAGGCAAACACGAGGGAATAGAAAAACAAGTAACTTTTACAGGGGTGTATGTTTTCAACAGCATATTTTGCAAGAAGGGCTGTATTAGATGCTACATATTTTAATTAGCTGTTTAGAAAATCAGGTTGACGATGTCCTTTAATTAGCAGACATTGACTTATTCCATGTGTATTATGGCACAGTGAATCTTATTAAGATAAATGTTTCTCTCTGAAGATACAAAAAAAATCCACCATCATTTGTTTGCTTACCAGATTGCTCACCATCAATACGGCTGCTATTTAAAATGATGAATTTTAGTCACATATTTAATTAGCTAATAGCTGATCTCACTGTAGGGTCTTGATCCTCCTTACATGTGTTCTTTCATCCTGAAAAAGTCTTTGGTTGTATCTTGGTTTTGAAGTTTTTGTTTGAAATTGTCCTTGCTACTTTCAAATCTAAAATACAATAAATTAAATTATTAAAAGTAAAAATTATTGTGAAAACATTTAAGGTTTTGAGTATAGTTTTGTACCTACTGCTCATTTAAATACATTGCTAGAGGCTATGAATTTAAAAAAAAATTACAAGTTTTTAAAGTCGGTTTTTCCACTTGCTGTGGGTATTTAGTTTGTGAAAAAATTATGTGCACTTTAAAATGCTATAAACCAGCTGAAGATTTCAGTGCGTTTGTCTATCACTGCTTGGCCTGCAGTCTTCTCACAGAATTCAGGTCCTTTGATGGCCACATCTGCAAAGTGCAGCAAATGCACTGCAGCCTACACTGTGTTATGATAACTATTAAATAAAGAAAATGTCTTCAGAGTGTTCACATGAAAGACAGAAAGCTCTTGTGGGCGTCACTGGTTTGGAAGAGAACTTCTGGGGAGCGTCTCTATTTTAGTTGTTCATTGTATGTGACAAATGGTGCTTCTTCATCCTCACAGATCATGTTAGTGCCTAGAATGGCATTCAGGGGAAAACATCCCTCTCTCATCACAGCAGGTGACACTCTTGGTCACATGGATTAGTGTCAGGTAGTCATGCAAGGAGCAGGGAGTTGGACTCCATGATCCTTAGGGGTACCTCCCAACTTGAGATACTCATGATTCTACATGACTGGCCTCTAAACCTCTCATTTTCCTTCCAATTTGCAGAGGTATGTTATTCCACCAGTACAAAGAAGATAAGCAAGAAGGAAGTTAATAAAGTGGAATTTTCTTTGTTGCAGAGGCTGTCTTTGAAGGGATTGTAATGGCAGGTATAGTTCTGCCAAGTAGAAATGATTCTGGAGACGCTGCAGAAGGTGGAGGCTTTCCTGTGATGAACCTGGAGGCAGTCTGGAGGGGTTAGGTAAAACCAGGCTGCAGCCATTGCAAAAGGATCTTCTGAAAAAGATCTGCAAGATGGATTTGTCATTGAATTTATAGCTACATGGATGCGTGTGTACCTGTCATTAAATTTGCATTAGTTCAACTATATATATCTAATATATATAAAATAAGTATCACTATTACTTGTAAGTAAGCTTGCTTTAAAAGAACATTTTGAAATAATATATGGTTAATGATATGAATTCCTAGGAATCTACTATAGAGGAGATGGCTCAAAGTCAAGAGAATTTGTTCAGTGAAACCAAAGGACATGGGAGTGCCTGGAGCATCCCAGTGATGGGCAAATAACGTACCACCAGATAGGGGGAATATCCATCAGGCTTGTCCTGCTGCTACCACTTTCCTAACAAATACTGAATAGCTATCAAGCTTCAATGGCTTTTGAAAACTGGCTATGTTACTGAAAGTATTCTCTTGACCTCTGGAGTATGTTATTACAAAAAGAAGGGCATAATTGACTTATTGAATCCACAATTATTTGTTCTTGCTGTTGTCCCATAACAGCATGGATTATAAACCTTATGTCCTAGTCAGGCAGGCAAAACTGTTACCTTAGTCCTGCTGTTTAATTAGTGTTTACAATTGGACGTTGTTTATATACCAATAAATGTTGCCTGAATGAAGACTTCCCCTTAACCAATTATACCAGATGTTTCTCTGTGAAGGTCCTAATTAAACAGCATCTCTTCTTCTGTTTGCTTTAATCCTGCCTCTTGTGTGGATCTCTGTCAGAGTGCATCACTACACTGGGACACTTTACCCACATTTCTGTCCCTTTTAGGTTCACTGGCTGGTGGCAGCAGCTCCCTTTAAAAGTTCTTGCTTACTGTATGGGAAGAAGGTTCTGATGGGTAACCTTGAGAGCTGGGAATCCAAATCCATTCCTTTTTCTATAGTGGGATTCTCAAGTGATTGCTAAGTGACATATGACCCCATCAGGATGCTATAACTTCAGGTGGCTGATGGGGTCACTGCTCTAGTGTCCAAATCTGCAGTTTCCAGCCCAGAATTTTCAGCAAAGGGGGAATTTACTTGGAAGCCCTCCTCTGTAGACACTGTCAAGTTGCAGATCCTGTGCCTGGTTTGTGAGCAGCTCTGCCCCCCATCACAATTTTGGCAGTTTCGGGAATGGTCAAGGATAGCTGTCCTGGACAGTGCTGTGCCCACTCCTTAGTCAGACCCTCAGTATACTTGAGCTTCCCTTCTCCTGTATAATGGTCCATTACTTTCTGGCAGTTAAGATTTTAGGAGCTTTTCTATTCCAGGTGCTTCTTCTAAGAGCTGATTCCTAAGTTTCCAGCACTTTTGTGTGTGCTTATAATATGAAAAGGAAATCAGCTTCCTTTCTCTGGTACAGCACCCGCCATCCTAAGTGAGTCAACGAGTTCCTAAATGTAGTATTTCAATGCCACGTGAAAAAGTAAGGAGTGGGAGATGTATTAGTGAGAACACTGTCTCACTGCCAATCCTTATGGGTCAGAGGATTAGGAATACAGTAGCCCATCTGTGCTTCACCGAATATCTTCATTTAGAAGATAAGAATGATATGTAACTACATTTTTTACTGTGTACTTCCTTCATCCAAACTTCAAGTGACTCTAATTTCATATTAGTGTCTTAATTTTTAAATTGTCCTTGATTTCAAAATGGATTAGTTAGTAATTACATTAAATTATTTCTGCAGATTCTGATCCTATATATACCCATTCATTTCTGTAAGATATTAATTTAAAGGAATTTTTTTCATCTGTAGGGCCACTCTTGCAGGGAGTGGCAGAAAGTTTGCAGGCTGTGAGGGTCACTGAGGCTTCAGAATGCAGAAGATGATGTTATGAATACAAACTTTAAAAAGTTCATGTAATTTTTTCTACAGACTCTTAAATTCAAGTTTAGGGACAGATAATTGTGTGTGATTATATCTTACTGAATATTCACTTCTCAGCATTGCTATTACATCAAGGGAAACAATTTTTGGTAATCATGGTGTTCAGGAGTATCTGGATTTTGGTATTACTTGGACAAAACAGAGAAATTAAAGAAAAGATGCCGTGTGTTTCCTGTCTTCAGACACATGAGATAGTGATTTTAAAATGTTACTGTGAATGTGGTCTTGGCATAATGCTTCTCTGAGGCCTCTGAAGCCCGGTCTCTGCCCATCTCATGATGGTCAGGGTGAAGTTTGCTTGTGGAGCACTGTCCCCTGATCATATTTTTGGCCATCATCAGATTGTCCTTTTTCTCTCAAGTTCTCCTTATTTTGCCCTAGCAGACAGTATTTAGGACTAGATTCACCAAACAATATCCTTTCTTGTACTCTTGAGGGAAGGTGGTTGGCTTTGGTAGGTCCCATATTTTGCTTTACTCTATACCCTGGATTCCACAGAAAATAGCCCTAATGTTATTATCCCTTTTCTAAGCTGATGGAGTGCTGCTATGGGCTTGAGTTTTCCTTATTGCACTGCCATTATTAAAGGGAAATGTCAATAACATTTGCACTAAAAGGACTTGTTTTGGTGGCACTGCAGGATTTATGGAATAACTGGCAAGCCAGGAATGTTCCTGCACAAGTGCAGTGCAAAACTGAAAGGCTAAAGGTGAACCAAGGCTGACAGTCCTAAGCCACCAAGTGCAGTGAACTCAACCAAGGCAATCTACCTGCAGCCTCTGAGCTCATTTCTTGGATTCCTGAAAGGAATAAACCCATCATTTTTCATCCATGTGGCTGACATTGCATAGATCTACTCCACTCCTATCTGAGCACTCGTAGGACTTGTATATAATAGGAGCAAAAGGGAGTTCCTTGCCACTTAGTGTGAGAAAAAAATGCCAGGGAAGACAAGTGCATATTAGGGTGAGCCAACTGTTTACCATGATCTGCTAACAAATGTGATAACTAAAAATGGCCTTTCTGCACTGGGATTTCATCGTGTATTAGTTGCCATGTGTTAGCTAACATAAGCTTATTGCAGTCTAAAGTAAATTCCTGCCATTTCAGTTTACCTCCTCTCTCCCAGCTGCTACATGTACTGATTGTCTCTCAGTGATTTGCTGCTCCTTTTTCTGTGCCACTGGTACCTTGAGAAATTGTAACTAATAACAAATCATGAATTTATTTTAAAAGTTTGGAATTTAACATGGTTCCTAAATTAATTATGAATCCTCTCCTATAAAGAATTAAATTTCAGTTGAGGGCCAAATAACCAGCTTCAAGACAGCAAACAATTGTTCAGTTAATCTGAAATTAAGTTCTGATTGTACCTCTCTCATCTGTCCAGATGTTCATTGTCTGTGTTAAAAGAATTTTATCAGAGTAAATGCTGAAAAGGATTAAAAGATAGCAGAGAACTGTAGTTTATAGATTATTAAAATGCAATGCATAAAATGTGTCTGTATATATAAACACAGGACCGAGTCCATAATAATATTGGAAATATTAATGAAAAACTAATACTTAGATATTAAACATTTTCCAATGAAGATATTAAAACATTACACAAGCATATATTTTAATTTCTAAGTATAGGTGTAGTAATCTCTGCCACTAGGAGTGGATCAGGATCATGAAGGGAACACCTGTAAAGAGCATATTTAGCAGCTACACAATTAGAAACCACTGGAAAGTGCTTTCCCCACTGAGGGATTCCAGGGAATTGGAGGGTTCCAGCGTAGAAGAATTCTTTGGGTCCCTTCTCCCTGCCTCTGAGTGGCAGAGAATTCTAGCTTAGCATTATACTTCACGTTTGAAATTCTAAACTGTTTTGATCCACATGCTCAAATCCCAGGAGAACTGACTTAGCCCTTCACCTTTCCCAGGTAAAGTGCACTTTTATCACATATGTGTGTGCACCTTTCTGATGGGAACTTAAAAATGAAGGTTATTTCCTGAAAAGAATTTTGAAGTCTCAGTTTGTAATAGCAAGGGTTTACCTGTGCCCTTGGATAACAGTTCTTTTTCCATTCTGTGCCCGGGTGGCTGCCACTGACCTTCCTTTCCTTTCCTAGTTGTGCTCGCTGGCAAGCAAACACTCCTCAGCTCTGCCTGGCTTAGAGGGGCAGTGGAAGAGCAAGGGGGGGTGTGTGAGAAAGCCCTGCACATTGGCAATCCCTTGCTTTTACAAGCTCAGAAAAGCTTGTGGAAGAGTGGAAAAGCCAAGTAGCATTCCAAATCCCGGAGTCACAGGTCGTTCACCTCCCATTCGGCACGGCTGTCATTTACAGGCTGGGTTCCTTCGGGCTGACGGTTTCTCTCTGTAATTACACAATATCGATGCACATCTGTGAGGACAAACTGCTAGGAACAAACAGTTCAAAATATCTATAAAATGTAAAATTAAAAAAAAATATTTTCAGGTGTGAAATGAGATGATGCTTTGCCTGCGTGGGCAAAAATTGATCCAAGTTTTGTGATGACGGTGTCTCTGGTTTCATGTCACTTATCTCAGCATAACTTTTAGATTATTTCTGAAATCATGCACAGAATGAGGGGAGATACAGTTTGACCTTTTCAGACTTGCTGCATTTTAATTTTTCCTATGCTTAGAAATAACACAGAAAAAACCCTCAAGAGGTAATATTATTTTTGTATAAATCTCTGTAGTTATACTAGGCATGTTCAGAATACATTAAAGATACTGTCCTGACACAAAAAAATTACAGTGTGCTTTTAGATATTACATAACTAATGAGAGCAATAAATGCTGGGGGAACGAGTGGATCAAGGTTACAATAATAAGATTATAGCATTCCTCCACTATGTGTGCATGGTTGAAAATTCACCTCAATTTTGCTACCTCAGTCTGGGCTTTGGTTTTTCATTTTGGCTTTTTCTTGCTTTATCAGATTTAATTTTCTGTCTGAGTCCACCAGACCATAACATCCTGGCTAAAAACTCTGACCAGACTTTTGATTTTCTCTCTCTCTCTCTCTTTTTTTTTCTTCTTCTTCTTTTTAGTTTTCTTATTTTTAATTTGGAATGTACCTGCTCTGCTTGCACGGCTATCATCGATGGCCTTTCTGTAGCAGAACCATTGTCATGGTCTTTTCTTTGACAGGAGTCACAGTTGAAGCACCAATAGAATATACACTTGAATGCTTGCACAACCTTTTTCTACACAGGGAAAGTGATACCAAAAAAAAGTAATTATATGATTTCTACACAATTACACCTGAATTTTTAAATCCCCACTTTGAAGACCCACACCATGCACTGTGTGTGTGGTGTGTGAAAGGCATGGAAAACGTGTGCTAATGCTCCATCTTCTCATTCACATCCAGCCTTAACAGTCACTTAAAAACGATTTGTGAAAGATCAATAATGTACCTTACTGTCTTTTTTTGTAATGTATAAAAAAGGGTGGGTTTTTGCCAATTTTTTAAACACTCTGAAAATATCAAGATTGTAAAATTGGATTTTTATTGATCTTCTTGGAAGATCTTTGGGGTTTTGACAGACATGTATTGACAGCAGCCACCTCTAGCTGAATCAGAAGTATTGAATGTGTAACGGGAATCATTCGATCTTCAACATATTTGAATTATCCTCATGTTAAAACAAAAGTGATCAGAAATCTTTTTTCCTTTCAAGTCCTTGCTCCTTCACTGTTATGCTTTCTTCTGTTCTTTAATCGCCACAGTCTTCCAGGCTGCAAATGAAAGATAAACAAACAATGGAATATCTAATGTTTCAAATGCAAGCATAGAATAAAAAAGTAAAACATACTCCTTAAGTCCTTAGAGATTATAAATAAATAGAAAAATGGGACAAA